GAGGTGAGCCAGTGGGTAGCATTCACTTCCCAGCACACCTGCACAGCCAAAGATCATCCTGTGGCTTCAGGTCCAGCATAAGGACCTCCGCTGCTGCTCATTGGCATGCCATTTCCACAGGTGACAGCGGGAGTGGTTTGCAAAGCCCCTCTAACATGGACCACATGCATGGGGGATGCTTCCCTGTCCTCTCGGCAGGGGACAGGGACAGGGGGCTTGTCCCAGGGTTGCTGTCATCTGTCTTGCTAACGCACCTGATGAGGAAGTGTTAAGGTATCCGTGATCTGTACAGGTTTATGATTGAATTCCCTTCTTTTCTAAATGCTGTTGTTTAACCCACAGTGGCATTTCGCCCGCGGACTGTTTTATTGAACCGCAGAGGAACAAAGGAAGGAAACACCCAATGGTTTGGTGGATGCCGCCTGTTGCACGCCCGGTTTCATGGCTGCGTATATCCGCTTCCACTACGTTGTGATGCTTGAGCCTTGCCTCGAAGCATCGCACCTCTGCGCAAAAAGCAGAGTTCCTGTAGGACCGGGGAGCGCGGCTCATTTTGCAAATTAAGAGTTGCTTTGACCTTGTGCAGGGAAATGGGCCCTGTCGGGCCTGGAGTACTGGGGCTGGGAGGTCATCTGCTCAGGCAGCGCGGGCTCGGGTCGTTAGTTGGCATTACAGCTGGGAATTGGTGATATTGCTCTGTGTATAGGGGGCTGCAGGGTTTGAATACTGAAATACTCCTATTTACTAACAGCTTTATATTTTAATTTAAAATTAATTCAGATTGAAATTAATCATTTAACCTTTAATTGGGACCATGTTTTCATCTCAAACAGATTAGTCAAACAGAGGCAAAATTCACTTTACTGTTTAAAAGACAGTCACGTTTCTTTGAGCAGTAACTACCATAGATTGCTACATGCATTTGTTTTTCTTTGACTGAAATAATTTTCCCTGCTCTCTGTCTCTGAGACAGACTCATCAGTTATAGCTTAAGGAAATCCATTTTCATACAGTAACGAGGACAACTGCAGTCCTGAAACTCTTGCCAGTAGGTGACTTCAATAAAGTCAGTGTGGCTCGCACTCAAATAAAAGAGATGGCAATCAGACTGCATACAGTTTTAAAATAATATTTCAGATTGGAGTTACCACAGGAGTTACCAGGATCGATAGATATTGGGCATCTGACTTGAGGAGACCTTCTTAAAAAGCAAACTCAGACATCCTTGCTGTACAGTTTATATCACGTATGTAGAAACTCTCAAGGTTTCCCTTGCTCACTTTTAGTTGGCTGAGAGGTTTTTCTTCTCAGCCCATTGCATCTGCTTCCTCTCGTATCGTTCCCCCTTGTGAGGGAAAGGAAAATTCCTTAGCTTTTGGAAGAAAATGTTGAGAAGAAGCAAGTGCTGTTCACAGCTGTTTCCCATGCTGAAATTACAGATTCTGTGAAGACTCCCTGTGGTAGTCCTTTTATTTTCAACCTGAGTGAAACCAAAACCATGGTATTCACCTCCAAAAGCCAAATTTTCTTCCATCAGTTCATGTAATCCAATTTTTCTGACATAAAAAAAGTGAATGCCTTTTGAAGTAAAGGCTTCATTTTTTCTCTTCTATATCAGAATTAAAAAGTGACTAGGAAAAGAAGAATAATAGTAAGTACATTGGCAACATTTTCTATTGTCACCCTTCTTTCCAAGCTTCAATTTCAAGTATAATTGCATTTTTTTTTTCTCCGTTGGGCTGCAGTTGTGAATAATCTTAAATTGGTCTGACAGGCAAAGACAGAAAGCGTGAGACAGCCTGAGGGGAAGACACGAGATTGGGATGCCCTCGCTAGGGCATACCAGGGCAGCAGCGATCCGACAGGCTCATCCCCCCGGCCCCGACTGCTCACTCTGTACTGCCATAGCGGAAGCATGAAACGATGAAATCCCTGTCCCTCTGGAAATGAAAAAAGCCTGATCTCGTTTTACCAGGGTGCTTCCTGCATGCTCCCCTTTCTGCTTCCTTTTTTCTCTGGCCCCACACCACCACCACCTTTTCTTAAATGAGGTCTACGAGTTTCCACCTGAGGGATGAAGGAGACATTTATTAATGGAGCAGTTTGATTCCTTCCTTTCTCTTCCTCACCCCACAAAATCTGTCTGCTTCTTACGCAAGCTTGTTTACTTATGTTAAATTCATTGCCATATTAAAATGTCAGTGGCAGGGCCTTTGAAAGTGTCCCAAATAAACAGTCTTACTGTAGTTCCATGCTGTAAATTAATGCTCAAGTGTTACGATGCTATGAATAAATTATGCTTAATCAGCAGTGGAAATTGTGTCTTGTAGAAAGACCAACAATATGACAAAGGTTCAGTTTTAGGTTATTAGTCGTCTTCCAACCTTTACATTAAACTAGTATATAAAATTACTAAAAAATTTTAAAAAATTATGCTGTCTCTATTCATAAATACATCTTGGGCTTGTGTATGCCTGCCCATAAATATAAAAATTTCCCTTCAAGCTGAGTAGATATGGTTCAGTGAAACCATTTGAGCTTAATACCTGGCAGTGAGCTTCCATGGGAAGTTTTGGTGAAAGTGCTGCGTAAATATCTGGACAGATGTAGTGTGATGTTTGTTTCTTTATGTGTTTGTTTAGTTACTAGCGCTGGTAAGAGCGGGATTGGCATCTGTTCATTTCTGCCTGGCTCGTTGTCTTCAGGCCAGGAATGGCCGTGCTGTGCTCAGAGACAGTAAAATCATTTGAGGCTCCTCTGTCAGCCGGAGGGAGACCAAAGAGTACGGCACGCATATCATGAGCCGGTATTTGGGAGGGAATGAGATTTGAGTCTTAAAAGGCTGCAGCAGGAACAACAACAAAACCAAAAAGCCTGTTTCCTGCTGCATTTTCTCCTAGTGGCGTTGTTTAAGAGAGGCTGAGGTTTTCGTTATTTCCTCAAGTTAAACAGAAATCCCCAAACACCCTTGCAGCCTTCGAGGAGACGGAAACACACGGAGTGCTGGCTGAAGGAGGACAGGCTGTGCCAGATCAGGCAGGCTGGCGTTAGGCTCTGTGAACTTCGCCACAGGGTCGTTTTTAGCAATTCTGCTTTCACAGGTTGCCTGTTGGGCCCACGCCGCAGAGGCTCAAACTCGGGATTGTGTCCTCGGGGCTTGCAGGAGAGAACTTGGAGCGGGAGGTGTCTTCCCCAGCTGCTTTGCGAGCGTGGAAGTCGGGGGTAGCAGCTGCAGCCAGGCGCCTTGGTTCGCGAGGGCTGTGAAGCGCTGCAGAGTGCCGAGATTAGCGCTTCCCTGTGAAACGTTTCATGCTTCTCACACCGCGTTCAACGCAGTGTGAGCAGGGTTTCCTGTATTAAGATGTTTCAGAGTAGGGCATACGACTGCGCGGGGCTTTGTTCTCTCTCTGCTTGCCAGTGCGTTTCACTCAGGTGTTTGGCACCAGGAACTAATCAACAGATTCGCCTGATATTCAGTTAGGTTTTGGTTATGGACGATAACGTGGAAGCTGAACGTCCCGTTTAATGCTGCAGCTTCCCTCTCACCTCCATCACTTACAAAGATGTTGGGATTTTTATTCCGACTTTTTTTCCACCTCAGGCTGCCCATCCAAACGCTTTTCTGTTTGGGCAGTGCATGAATGAACACAAAAGACCACATAGTCTTGTATCTTGGATTTTATACTACGTTTATCGATCAGTTCATCTCCATAAGCAAGACCGAAAAGCGTGTCCCTGTTTCGGCTTATGCTAAGACTGGTGAACCCATTCTTTTGGCTTCAAATTAGCATTTAATTCAGTGACAGGTCCTGGGCGATTTTATCTAAGCTTAACTGTCTGCAAAAAGAAGTCATGTTTTTCTTTGTATTACTCTTTTTTTTACATTGTATTTGTAATGAGAATGTATTGGGGTTTTCTTAGTGTGCTCGTGCATTAGGCAGTGTTTGCTTTGGAACCAAAGTGTAACAAAAGGTGAACGCGTTTTAAGATGTGCTCCCTTTTGTTACGTTGTCCATTTGTGTATGGGGGTTGTAGGTATGAGTACAGACCACAGACCTGCAGGTGACCAGTGTCAGCCAGAATGTTGTTACTTGGTAAATTCCATTTGGAGAAGGATGCGTGTCTTGGGGGGAAGCAGCAGCTGAACAGCAGAGTCTGGTGATTCTTATCTAGTTTTGTTCTCCTGGTTTGTTTGTTTTTTTTTTCTTATTTTCACATGGAGATATCATCTTGGTGGAAAGAAGTCAACAGTCTTATTTCACTCCATGGGTTTTCATAAAAAGTTATTTGCTAAATTTTTCATTTCTGTAACTTACTTCAAAGGCTGTTTTATTATGCAGACGTGGCCCTGAATCAGTCTAAGATGCAACAGGAGTCAAAACGAAGGGAGTGTGCCAGTGTTCATGAAACACCACCACCCAGAGTTTTTCAGAAGCAGATTTTGTGGGTTCAAGCACCATCCCGAGAGGACTGGGTTAATGTAAAAAACATCCTCCTCGTACAGACCATGCGAGTTCCTGATAGTATCAGAAGCAGCTCATTCAGCCTGATGCATGGTCCTTCAGAAATGGAATAGATCTTTCACTGTTCAGGTTATTTTTTTGGTTTTGGCTTGCTTAGTCCTGCTTAACTGAAGAGACATAGTTTACAATTAGTGTGCCCTTGTAAGCAAATCTTGGCAGCAGAGAGATGATAAAGTTAGCTTCTTATGCAGGATAGGGCCAATGTTTTGGTAAACTAACCAGAAGAGAAGATAACCAGAAGTGAAGTTCTCAAAATGCAACGTAGAAAATGTTTCTTCTTAGTGGTGCAATACACTGTTTTGTTTTCCAGGCAAAATTAAATACAAATCCAAGTTGATGCATGAAGAGCTCCGTTCTACCAAGAGGTTTTATTTCCATCAGCTTTCTCATTATGAGAAAAATCTGTATTTTTAGACCATAACTGTCTGCAAAATGTGATCTACATATGTATAGGTCCCAGAGCAGTAGCAAAGTCACATGTTAAAATTGAGGAGGTGTCCATGGAATTTAAAACTATACTCCTGTTATTTTGCAGCTTGTCGACCTGGGTTCTACAAAGCCTCTGCCGGCAACGTGAAGTGTGCCAAATGCCCACCTCACAGCTCTACCTATGAAGATGCGTCTCTGAACTGCAGGTGTGAAAAGAATTACTTTCGCTCTGAGAAAGACCCTCCATCCATGGCTTGCACCAGTGAGTAGCATCATTATGCTCGGGGCTATCATTCTTGCTCCTCCATCTGTATCTCAGCAGCTTGCTTGCTTCCTCTCATGTCCCACTGCAGTCAGCCATCCACTGCCTCCCATGTCTTCTTACATGTTGGACAGTAGTAGGCTACTAAAAATTGGTGGGCTGGGTTTATGTCTTTCTATTTTCATTTTCTCCTTCTTGTTCTCTGTCAGACTCGAGAAGGAGAGCTAGGATTTTTAAATTGCCACCAGTATTTTCAGCTCTCAATCCTCAACTGCACCCTGAGGGTACTGTCTGTCTATAACAAAACATGGTCCTTGATAGTCTAGGTCTGTGGTCCAGTGAAATACTTCAGGAGGCTCTAAAGGAAATAACTAGAAGAGTTTTGTTATTTATGGTTTTGACTTTTGTATTTTGTAACTTCCATCTTAGAGCACTACAGAAGATCTCATCCCCCTGATTTCCTGTTTCCTTTTACAGGACCACCATCTGCTCCAAGAAACGTTATCTCTAACATCAACGAGACGTCTGTTATCCTGGACTGGAGCTGGCCTCTTGACACCGGAGGTCGGAAAGATGTCACTTTCAACATCATTTGCAAAAAATGTGGAGGAAACATCAAGATGTGTGAGCCGTGTAGCGACAATGTGCGATTCTTACCCCGTCAGACTGGACTCACCAACACCACGGTGACAGTAGTGGACCTTTTGGCACATACCAATTACACTTTTGAGATTGATGCAGTCAACGGGGTATCTGACTTGAGCACACTTTCCAGACAATTTGCTGCTGTCAGCATCACAACTAATCAGGCTGGTGAGTCTCTTTCTGATTACCCTTTCTTTGTTCAAAACTACTGAGATGTATGTACCTTTGTTTCCTTTCCCTATTTTACAGGAGTTACTCTGACCGCTCGTGTGCTAGGGTAACTAATTGACTTGAATATGCTTGTAAAAGTAAAAGCAGAAACAAACCCAGTGTGTGTTGCTGTCAAAGGACCTGGCAGCATGACTGTTATGATTAACTCCCAGTTCCCAGTTAATAGTCTCTAATATCAGGCTCACATGATTCCTCAGCCAGAATGTGTTTTATTAATAAAAGCAGATTTTAATAAAACACTCATTTCAATAATCTCCAACATAAATTACTGTAGTAATCTTAGTGATTAATTTTGATTAAATAAAAGTGAAAAAATGCTTTGATGTTAGACACACAAAAAGCTAACATTAAATTAGAGAGGTTTAAAACACTGCTTTTTTTTTTTTTTTTCCCTCCTTTACAAGTTGTCTCACCAACTCTGAATTATTGCCAACATGATGGGGGTGTGGAGCTGAATACTGAATTAGGTCCTGGTGTCGTAGTTGATAGCGTACAAAGCGACTGCTCTGCTTCTGTGGAAACTTAATAAAGTCATTGAGGCCCTGCATGAGCACAACAGTATGCCCTGACTGTCAAATCAGATCTTTTGTCACTGCTGCACTATTCTATCATTTGCTTCTCATTTGACCAGGTTCCATTTATCTGAAAGATGTGACAAATCTAGACTCTTCTCTAGCATTTGTTTAGGTACCATTTTTTTAGGAGCAATGTTTACCAGTGAAGAGAAAGACTAGATCCTGAAATTTCTGTAGTTGTGCTCCATGTGGTTCACCATCAGGAAGCTTTGTACTGAAGGCATGCGTGTGTGCAGTAAGTCTTCTCCCACCTCCTCCCATCCCACACCCCATCCCCAAAATACCTACATTTCTGTCTTTCTCAAAGCACACACCGAGTTAGCATTGTTCTAAGTAGACATTCTCCTAGTGAGCTACGTTATTGCAATGTTTTTCACTATAGAGGATATATCTCTTCTCCTCAGATCAGGGATCAGCTTTAGTGGGAGGCATAAAAATGCGAGAACAGACTGTTTCCTGACAGCAGTAACTACGTTTCCAAATGCTCTGGAGGACTGTCTAACTATGCAGTAGGCAGACAGAGGTGAATCTACCCAATTGAAAGATCTTCTCATGATCTCTTGCTCATCTAGGCATTGACTTCAGCTCTGAAACTTGCATTTTATGTCCGTTCCAAACCATTTTCTACTGTTATAGTTATATTTTTGGGATATTTGTGTCAGCGGCTTGAGCAGCCTTTGTTTAGTTGATCTCTTTTCTTCTGTTTTTTATACTGGAGATATTGCCTTTCAGCCGTAGCAGTTAGAAATCACCTGGCGCCATTCCATAGAATGAACTGTCTAGGATCAGTGAAAGGTATTTTCTCTGCAGAGGCCTCCCGCTTTGTAGTGTCCTTCCCCAGGGCCCAGAGCTGGCAGCCTCTGCACTGCGATGCAAGGTGGATTTTGATTTTGTTTTGGAACGCACAGTTCCTGTGACATGGCAGAGTAGATGCATTTCTGGCAATAGCAACTTTGCTTAATGCAACCCACAGGCTGCTTAAGCGATTTGTTTGTTTTCTACTTTTATGCATAGCCCTTTTTTGCTTCAAGTACATTTAGGTGGTGTGGGTTACTACAGGCTTAATTGTGCTATCTCTTGATCATGCTGATTGGTTTACTGTATTAGAATTCCCCTAGAAGTTCTGCAAGTTGCTAAAATTAGACCTTAAATATGTGTATAAGTAATCTTTTAAAGCAAAATTACAAAAATGCAATTTATCTTGCATTCCCTTCCTGGTTAGATCACAACAGGGACACACCAGAAGCATATTTTTAGCTAATGTCATACTCAAACACCTGAGCGGGGGGTGAGGGGAGAAAGTCTGAAGATCTTAGATTACATGATAATTAAGGGTTTAACTGGGGGGCATTTCAAAAAAGAATTAAAGCACCGTTGAGCTGGATCTGGAAGAGACCAAAGGCCAGACATGACTCCGGGGCTATTATTTGTGCTGTCTGACTTTAGATACATCCCTTCAAGGACAGAGGTATCCACCAGTTGGATAAAGCTTTGGTTGAATGACTGAGCTCTGCTGGACTCATGGAAGTAGGAGAGGCGTATTGCTTTGGGAGGTTGTTCTGTGGGTGGGGTATCGCATGGGGTGATACGGTTCAGTACGGCTGGACGGATCCTAGGGACAGAGCCTCTGGCAAGCCTGCAGAAGGAGCGATGTCAGTTAGTAGGCTGCGAGTTTTGGAGAGAGGATTGAAGTATGGAAGGTCCCTACAACCCGGATCTCCTCAGTCTCTCCTGAATCCAGGCTATTTCACTTCTGCCAACCTTGATTTGAGAGGCCTGTACGCTTGCAATGGGTATGATGAAGTTGCAGTTTTAATCCTGGATTTTCAGGATCCATGTGCTTTTTTCAAGCACCGTTGGGCCCCATCCCAGCTTAGTGAAAGCTGTTCTGCAGAATGTTCCTCACCCACCCAAAACACTGGTTTTCAAGTATGTAACTTTCCAAGAGCCTGAGGCAGAACTGCAGAATGTTTTATATTTTCTAATGACAAAAATGTGATTTTTGTGGCAGTTCTCTTGGTGGTAAAAATCAGACATTGTACATCTTTACTTCAGATGAACTCAGTTCAAGACAGGCATTGGTTGGCGTTACGTTTGCTGGGTCTCTGAGCTCTAAAGGCCTGCTAAAAATTGAACAAACATTTCTTTCCATGTTTCTCACTGTACACATGGGCATTTCTGCCTATGAATCCATCACCAGCGTAATAGATCAGAACGTGCATAGCACTAATTTTCTGTAATGCAGCAATTGGGAGATCTGCCAGAGTGTGTTAAAATAAATTCAGCTGATATGTTAGGAGTCGGTCAGTTTGCACAGCAGCTCCATTTTCGTACGTAAACAGATCATATACACACATGCATACACATATTTGTAATTTACATATACATGTAGATATATACACACACAAAAAGGGTCAGCTTAAATGTTGCTGAAAAATTCGCTGACACCTTTACAGTGATTCTGAGTTCTAGAGTCTGTAACTAACAATCTCAATAAGATTTTCCTGGAGAGTTTTCAAACCTGGTCTAGAAGTAAAGGAAAGGTCTGCTTCATTGTCACTTGTAAGGTTTGAAACATACAGACTCTGATTCTGCTGCTGCTGTGAGTGCAAGAAGGATAATACATTTTACAGTACAAAACTGTTGTACAGCCAAGATCTAGTCCCGTGAATTGAGGGAAATTCAGAATAGTTTCAGAAAATGGATTGTTTTTTTTCTTCCAACTGTCTGGCCTGTTGTGCTTTTGCTGTGCTTTTATTGCACTTTGTTTTCCTTCCCTTCCAGTGAAGGTTAATGAGCAGACATCTCTTGGGAAAAAAAAAAAAAAGTCTCTTGCAAAATATGGCTAGACAGGTATGACACTGCAATATTTCTAATTCCTGTAAGTCTCTCTGTCTTTGGTGTGGAAGTAAAAGAGAAAGGGCACACGTTTCTATTTAACTTAGTTTGTTGATCATCCTCTTAGATTGCATTGTAATACATGCCTTCAGTTGCCACCTGATACAGCTTCCTCTGAATTATATTGAAGCATTCTGCTGCTGCCTGAAGAAAGCTCTCACCTCACATCAATATGTTGCACCACGCAGATGTTATCTTCTAATAACACCAATCAACCCTGTTTAGAAAGGGTCACTGGCTGCTGCAGGAGAGGATATGGAATTCGGTACCCCTGGAGGTGGCGTGCTAATTGTGCATATGCCACGCAGGGAGGCTGACAGCTGTGCCACGCTGCCTGGCTTGTTGCTAGCATGATCAGGTGTCTGGGCATGGATATTCTAGGTTCGCTGGGTTTTCTGAACACAGTTTATGGGCTTTTTTTTAGATGCAGGTACAGATAAATATCTGTAAAGACCAGAAAGTTATCTGTTCCTTGGAGCTTTATAAGTAACCCGATGGGAAAAGACATCCAGTCACCGTCAGGGCAGTTCTGCATTTACTGCCTTTGGGCTGTAGCAAGCAGAAAACTCATGCTGAAGCCCAAGGAGATTGTAAATGGAAATAAAGTATGGAATTCACTGAAGAAAGACTACGATTTGGTAGGGACAACACAGTTGTGCTACTGGGTAATCAGTTTACAAAAATGAGGGAGGAGGTTTTCCAACGCGAAACACAGCCATTGGGTCAAGGACATATATGAGTTGAATATGTTTTGCAGATGCTGTGTGAGAAAGTAACAGGTTTTCTGTCCTATCACTGCTTTTATGGTATCACACACTGTCATACAGGTTGTAAGTATGACTCAGAAATGCTGAGCAAAAAGATTAATATTTTAACCAAGGACTTAATTGACTTAACAGCACTTTAAATAGATGTTCTCTGCAGTGATCTTTGCAATCTAGAGGAGACAAGGAGAACTTTCAGAACTTGCAGAAATCTGTACCACTAGCAGATATTGATCTGTCAGGTAGGTCTTAGGAAGCCTTGGCCATCCCACTGGTATCCCAGCACACACAGTGCCATCCCCGTCCTTTCCTCCCGGCAGATCTGGTGAGCAGGTTCGCCATACAAGAAGTGGTTCTGTTTGTTTAATCTAAAATCTGTTTGCTTAGTTTTGTTTAGCTTTGTATTTGTTAGTTCTAGCAACTATAAACTCATGCAAACAATGTGATAGTGGCATGTCTAATAAATAATAAATACAGTTCTTGCTGTATTTATTGTGTAAAACAAAAAAAATACTGAAAGCATCCTCAGCTTGTTGAAACTTGGGGAGGTCCCAAACTGAAAAATAACAAATAAAACTTGCTATATTCCTGAAGGGGGCTGCACTTCCTATTTAACAAATAATTGTGTGTAAGTACAATCCATATAAGTCTTTTGGATATAAGCATATACCTAATGATTAAAATGTATTTAACTGCTTAA